CCACAGTGTAACTCTGAGATATTTGTTTATATTAACTTTTTAAAAATGGATATATCTGGGGCGCCTGGGTGGCGCAGTCGGTTAAGCGTCCGACTTCAGCCAGGTCACGATCTCGCGGTCCGTGAGTTCGAGCCCCGCGTTGGGCTCTGGGCTGATGGCTCGGAGCCTGGAGCCTGTTTCCGATTCTGTGTCTCCCTCTCTCTCTGCCCCTCCCCCGTTCATGCTCTGTCTCTCTCTGTCCCAAAAATAAATACACGTTGAAAAAAAAAAATTAAAAAAAAAAATGGATATATCTGACTTTCTGAGAACTCCTAATACCTGCACTTAGGCATAAAAGTTCCAAATACAATTTGGTGGAAAATAAAAAACTACAGTATATTATTTCTTTTATCGGGAACATTTTCATTATTGGGCCAACTAATGTTATTAAGTATCCTATTATTAAGTCTCCCATTATTTTAAAGTTACTACAATTCATAAAATTACAACTTTCTACGAAAAAAAAAATCACACACACAGAGAAGGGTCTCTATGAAGCAATATTACAAGAAAACACCTACTATCCAAAATTAACATTTTAGAGTAATTTCCTTTTAAAGTTACTTTTTAATTTATCTTCAGAATATTAAGATGGCACTTCTGAGAAGTGTACCAGTTAATATTTCTTATTTCTCTAACGTTCCCTATCAATTTCTTTTTTCAGTAGGCTTTCACAAATTAAAACCATCCATCTTACTGGAAGAAAGACCCAGTTATCAAGAACAAAGGGAATTTAACCACAGAGATTACAAAGTCCGTGGTGGAAAACAAAGTTTTCGTCAGCTCAACTCTTTATTCTGAGTTTCTTTTAATTTTCCACTTGGAACTGTGATTCTGAATGTAACTAAGTCCCCCCTCTCTCTAGCAACATAATGAATCCTAAGCCGTATCTTTAAAAAATGAGGAGTGGTCTTTAGTCACTACTTTGTCCCCTCTACTACTGCCTCAAATCCATGTCACAATCCCCTTGGGCTAAAAACATCCTAGTCCTCTAAATAATCAGCAATAAGCTAAATTTAGTTTGAGGATTTGAGAAGAAACAGGCCAAGGCCCAACCTCCACAACCAGGCCCCACACTGCATCTCATCCGTATATTCATCTGAGACCCCTCCAGTTAAAATTAGCTCAGCTAATCCTCCCTGGCTAGCTGCCATCTACCAAGCAGGAATCATAAAAATAAAGTCATAAAGAGAGAATTCCAACAAATGGGAAAGTCGATAGGCCTCAAATGTTTTTTAAGTGACACACAGATACTAAAATGGCTTCCCCTGAAATATAAGAAAGCACCTCAATTTATGAATATTAAAGGAAATTTTTATATAATTTAGATAATGGCCTATTAAAAACAGTTCAAAAAAGTTCCTTTAATATTACAGTATAAGCACATAACATGTCCTTAGCAAGCTAGATAACAATAGTTCCTGAACCATTTATAAATTCCAAATCATGTAGAGAGATTATCCTGTAACTCTCAGAACTTTTAAAAAAGCTAAATCCCAAATGACACTTACTGACAAACCTGGCAAAAAGTCACAGCTGCTGAGGACCCCTAGCACCTCCAACTATTATGCAGAGTCCCTTCTCAACACCGCTAGTACTCACATTTATTTAGAGTAACTGGGGGCCCTGCAACAACCCCTGGGGTGGAGAAAACCAGGAAATGGGAAGTAATTTTCAGGCAGGCAGAAGGTGACCTGAGGGCAGAACACAACAGCTAGGGAATTAGGGCTTATCTTCAGGAGAGTCTTCCTATAAGAAAGATACTAAAGTGCCAGAGGAACACAGACTTGAGAGATGGCCAAATAAAGTTGAACCTTCTTTCAGCCAAGGAGTGTATACTGAAAATACTCTTGCCTAAGCATTTTCATTAACTGAACTTTTCTACCTAATGACAGGTCAAAGTGCTTGAGAATGGAGATGCCCAGCCTTCCTGCAAAGCACATTGCCTCGATCTGGGAGAAGAAATTCAAGCCAAGTATAGAAACCCCAAGTCCTGACCAGGCATTCAAAAACCCATGTACACAACACGCAGTTATAATACCTAGATGTTCTGAATTTCAAGTGCCCACTATAAGGGATACACATGTAAACGCTCAAAATATTTTTGTTGACTCTACTGAAACAAAAACTGTCATCAACTATGTATTTATATCACAATTCGAACTTCTCCTCTCCCACTCCTGCACTTTTTTTTTTTTAAATAGATCTTGGGGACCTAAACACCAAACTTAGAATAGGAAAATAAAGAACAGTGATACCTGCTTTGTCTCTATTTATTGCTGTTGATGACATAAGGTTGTATTTATGGTGGTGATGCTATCTGAATGGCCACCATCATTTCAAGAAAGAAAAGCAAAACTCACTGGCCATCTATTTTATGACTAGGACCTTCATATAATTCATCTCATTTCGGGTTCTCAATAACCCTGTGGCAAAGTATTAATACCCAATGTTTATATAAGTAGAAACTGAGCCTCAGAAAAGTTATGTATCTAAGATCACCTGTCAGGAGAATTCAAACCTAAATCTAAACCCTTCTATCTTTCACAACATTTATGTAATCTAAGTGGTGTTATTAAAAAAAAAAACTGTAACTGAAAATAAAAAATGTATACAATCCTACTAAAAAGTACATGGAAAATGCTGAGTTTCTCATGTCATCCATGACAAATTCTTTTAGAGCATCCATCACTTCAAGACACTATTTCCCATAGGGATATAATATTATCTTTGCCCACAGGGAACTGACAGTCTAGTTAGAGAAAAAAGCCATCTGGGTAGGTTTTTAATGTAAGAGGCAACAAAAAGTACTGGAAATGACAAGGGTTTTAGAAACATTTATATAGTAATTTGAATGCTTACTAGTTGTGAACTTTGGACAGGCTCCTTAAATTTCCTCAGCTGTAAGGTCATAATTAAAATCTACCTCTTAGGAGCTCTTGTGAAGCTTAAATGAGACAACAGGTGAAAACAGTTAGGAGCCCAATAATTCTCTCTCTCTCCTATGTCACGAGCTAAGTGTCAATGAGTGGAAATATCAGTAAGTGATATAGCAAAGATCAATTTGATCTGGTACAAAAAAATTCAAAGACAAAAATCCCAGTCCTTACACTTGAAAACTTATCTGTGGCGACAGCTGAGTTAATAGCCAATTAGGTTTATCATTTGTAACAGCAGCAAAGTTAATTAAACACATAGAGTGTTTATACTTAAAGTACAAAATTTAAACAATAATGAATGGAACACAAATCATGTTAAATTTGGGGGGGGGGGGGAGAGGTATCATTTTCTGGTGCCAAACTGCTAATTTAAAGGGAAAACTACCATTTAAACCAAAAGTGGATGGCAACTAAATGCAATGTTGGGTTGAATCATGGAACAGTAGCCTGACTCTTCAGTCAACACTGATGTACCAATGGTAATTCCTTAGTTTTGACAAATGTGTTACTTTCCATAAATCTAAAAGTATCCCAAGATAAAAAGCAGATGACAAGGGAAAGGAATATACATAGCAACAATTAGGTATTGCCACTTGATTTTGGGTTTCCTGAAGATAGTTAGCCATGAATAGCAAAGGCTTTGAAATCAGTCAACACACACCATCCCAGCAAGCTACTCTAAGCATAACTACTAGGAATACCTGAAGTGTAATATTCTTAACGTTTAAAGAAAAGTGACTTGTCCACTTTTTCCTAGCATACTCTTGCAAAAAGCAGCTTTCTGGTAATTTTGCTGTTGCTGTTACAAAACCAGCAAATTAAGTTACCTCTGTTTTTGCATTCTTGACTAAGACATTTATTCAATCAGAATATAAACAGCCTCTCTCACCACATACATAAATTTGAAAGTCTAATAACAAGTGACATTTCTGAGCTTAGTGCTAAAGGCAAGCATAACTGTCTCATCTGCTTCCATAAATAAGGCAGACAGTCAAATACTCTTAATCTATTATACAAAACTCAAAGAAGAGTTAATAAAATGATATAAAAGTTACTAGGGCATTTTTATTCCCAGGGTCAAATAATGGCCGTAACTGACAATTTGCTTTTTAAAGCTCATCCACTGGGAGTCACATTAAGTGGTTGTGAACTTTCACTACCTGTGTGTTCAGCAAGACAGCTGAAGCTTTTAAACTCTGGAGTATGCAAGAAAAGAATTTACTTGCATACCAGAATGCAAATCCTATGCTAAAAACTAGCGACAGGTTTAAGGTATCACCAATTTCAATGTGTACAAACTACACACAAACACACACACACATTCAAACATACAAGCAATGTTAATTAACACTTAGTTCAGAGGCATTCACTAACCCTTTTAAAATACGCATGGAGAATTTAAAGGGCAATTTTCAAATTTCAAGGAAACCTTAATAATCTTCCCAAATTTCAAAGAAGGAAAAAATAAACAGCAATGCAGCAAAGTCATTTCTCCTGCTGAAATGACCTCCAGCTTCTATGAGCTACTCCCGGTTTCGCAATAACTGAATCTGAGACTCCAACCACGTACACACAAAACGGAGTAGAAGCAGAGAACACTAAAGCTTCCCCAACAGTCCTGGCAAAACCCACCTCCGTTCCCTCGGTCCTCACGGTTCCCCTTCCCTTCCGCGCACACATCTTTACCTTGGCTTCCACCAGGAAGAGAGAACAGGGTTAATCAGCAACCAAAATCCTGTTTTATCATCAGTTAACAGACACTAACCTGGAGAGCCAGAATGCTACTAACCTGATTTCAGGGAGGCAGAACTAAACCCAGCAGAGCACAGGGGTATAAATTATACGAATCCGAAATGCCAAGCCAGCAGCTCAATGCAGCTCAAATGTCAATTTAAGGAAAAGGCTTTTGCAAACAGTATCTCAAATGAACATTTACACTTCCAAACCACCCACCAACCTCCCGACTGCCAGGACCCAAATTCGGCTGAAGCAACCCGGGAGACAAAAAGAAGAGTGTCTTACCTTGTACATATCTCGACATTTTAGGGATTTATTAAAATACTGTGATGTGTATATATTAATTTCTAGAGGAGTTACGCTATAGGGCAGGTATCTCTTCCTCCCCTGCTTTAACAACCGACGTGTTCTTTCTCCCCTTCCTATGTTTAGCCACTTAAGAGAGTATTCAAAGCTATTAAAACTGCCTTAAAAAAAAAAAAAAAAAAAACAGGAAAACCTCCCCCACTTCCAAAGAGAAGAAACTTAGTGAGACTGAGTCTACTTAGAACTCCTGTCTACACTGCGCTCCTGACACAAACCAGGGCCAGCTGGAGACTCCCGGAAAAGGTAAAATCACACGAACTTAAATTTCATCAATGAAAGAGGAGGATCTACAACGGCTATTTCACCGCCCCCCGGGTCCCCACGCCCTCCCGGGTTGGACGACAGCAGACACTGGCCGGCCGCACCCCCCATCCCCTCCCCCTCGCTGCCGTCCAGCCTCCGGCCGGTTCCCCAGGAAACCCCGGTCAACAGCAGCCCGCGCCCCAGCGGGGTCGAGGAGGCGGGCAAGGCCGGCAAAGAGGGGCAACGCAACCGTTTTTACCAGCCCATAAACACCCTGGGACTAGGAGGCGGTAAGAATTCCGCGCGCCCGCCGGCGGGCTGGGGCCTCCAGCTCGCCCCCTTCCAACAGCGAGGCGAAACCATGTCGTGGCTTTTTCTCGGGAGGGGCCCAAGACCACATCGCCCCTCCCCCCACAGCAAACACTGAGGGGCCTTCCGCGAGGAGAGAACCCGCAGGCAGCCGCGAGCCCAAGGGACTAGAACGCGGGAGGGCCCCGAACCCCAAATTCGGCCTCCGGGGCAACACAGCGGGTGGGGCAGAGGAGCTCTACACATATCCCTGAGGGACACACACCCGCCCAAAGGGTCGTGGAAAGCCCGTCCCCGCCTCTCTCCAAACCACCACCGAGACCCACCTTCCTCCTCTTCCTTTAGCAGCTGGGAAATTGGGGGCGTTTATGGCGCCCCGGGAAGAAGACTCGCAGGCTGAGAGAATGTCACCTCTGAGACACCCTTCTCTCTCCCCCTCTTCCCTCACACATGCACAACTTGAACTCCTCGCCAGCGGTTGCAGCCCAGCTGCTGACCCCCTGCGCCCACCAGGCTGCGGGCTTCTGACACCCCAAGCCCCCACTTTCTCCCAAACACCTCCCCTCCCCCTCCATTTGGAGCAGCCCCCCTCAATGCGGAAATGTCCCCGCCGCGCAGACAGACAGGAACAACCGCCAGTCAGGAGCCGAGGCGGATGCAGGGCCTAGCCAATGAGACGCGCGGAGGTGGCAGGAGGCGGGGCGTCTGAGGCTGAGGGGACACCCCCCTCCCCCCCCCTCCCCGGGAGGTGGGCGCAAACAGGACCCTGGGATCCGCTTGTAAAAGCAGCACCTGCTGCGGCGGGGCAAGGGGTGTTTCACCAGTAAAACTCCCCGGCTTCTACGGATACTTTAGCAAGGGCGAGAACCTGAAGCACGAGTGGTTATTTTTGCAGTCCATAAAAACGTTCCGGTTTACGAGGGATTGAAGGTAGCTAAACAGCGGATAGAGCCAGAACGCTCCACGGCTACTACCTGAGAGAGCCTTTCTCAGTAGATACAAACTCTCCTCCCTACATCTGGTCTGGGGAGGGTGAAGGTGCGTTCAGGAGTAAGCAGTGGGAAGTGTGGAGTCCACCAACAGAAGGAGGGATTTAGGGTGTGGGAAAAAAAAGTGCCAGGTGAAGGCTCTGCCACCAGAACCAGCGCGGCCAGTACCTATTCCTGTAGAGAGTTATGCTGTGATAGACATTTACTTTAATGACCAAAGTGGCAATGGCTTGTTACCCCTCGAGATGCTTACCTTTACTATTCTTGAAGTCCACAAGGAAAGAGGATGTTGCAAGAACCTTGGCGGTGGCGTGTGAACTGCGAGAGGGCCAGCCCAGCGCCCGCTAAATCACACCTGATATTGCCAACACCTGTAAAACTCAGTGGGTGTATCTCAGACTTCACTTTGTGACTCAGTCAAACTATGTCAGGACAGATGAATTGTTAGCACTCTCTTAGAGGCCTGCAGTAAACCAAGTAATTCTAGAAGAGTTTGAGGCTTTGGACAACCCTAATCAACCAAGGTAAAGTGAGAATTTTTTAATGATTCACCTGTAAACAAATTTTTTTAGTGCCACATATTCGTATGGAAATATTATTAGGTAACAGAGAAAAGGCCAGTGATTAATTTGTCATGCTAGACAGCAACAATCCTTGGTGATATATTTATTATGTGAAATCCAAAAAGATTGACCTCTCAGCCATAAAAGTAATTTCCCCAAATAAAAACCAAAGAAGTGTCTAAAACCCAGGTATCTACATTTTAATAATGGCATTTGGAGACAGGATCTTAATCAGAATCTCCACATTCTTTGTGTGAGGTAGAGAAATTATAGCAGCAGTAAATAAGAGTATTAATCAATCAGTGTTTACACCAAAATAAGATGCCACCAAAACATTCGGGCCTCATAGGTTTGCTTAGCCTGCAAAAGATAAAGGGCAATGAAGAGTCTTTAATTATACAAGATATATTGTAAGAAAGATGATCAGTTATTTTCTACCTTTACAGAAGGTTAAGGAAGAGAAAATGAGTTTTAATTGCAGCAAGAGCATTTGGTAATACCTAAGAGTGACATCTTGATTTATGAATAATTAAATATTCAGACATCATACCAAAGGATATTGTACATTTGCTGCCTCAAGAGATCTCCAAAAAGTAACTACCTGTCTTCAACAGTTAAGTTCACAACCACCCAAAGTCTGACTCTTAGAGAAGTAGTACTCTAGTAGCTATATTCCCATATATTGTTTACAAATAGTGCCCTGTAAAATGGAATTTCTTTAGAGAGTCATTTAAATTTAAGTTTTGAGCCCCCAAACATTTTGTAAAAGAGCCTCCCACTTCTTCAGAGCCACTAGAAACAACCTCACTTGGCAGATCACGTGGGGATGGGGAGAAAGATCATGGCCACGGAGCAGTTTCAAGTCTTCTTAGAAGGCAATTGCCTATCTCTCTGTATATTTATACATTTTAGTACCTGAAAAATCACTTTCTCTGGTGTGTGTGTGTGTGTGTGTGTGTATGTATGTATTTAATCCTTTTTCTCATAATACACTACTGTGAACTTCCCTTCAAGGTACATGATGTTGGTACATCTATCGTTGGATATCTGTAACATGGATAGATAGATTTACAGATTAAACCTTTGCAGAAACTTTGGGGGACCTAAAGGAGGATGAAGAGTGTGTATTTAGGGGTAAGTTAGAATTAGATGCCTTTTTAGATTTAGTTCTTGGCAAATGTCTGGTACATAGCAAGTACTCAGTAAGCGTATACTGAATGACCAGTTTAGTGCCACAAGTAAATAAGATTTTAAAATTTAATTTGTACTTAGAGGTAAGGAATTTTTAATTTTTAGTTTGTCTACCTAGAATGTGAACTTGGGCCAGAATATAAGAAATATAAGAAAATAGAATATAAGAAAAATAGCAGCAAATGTAAAATGTAAAGTCTTGATGACTTTACAGTAAGCTTTGCTAACTCCCAACATGAGCATTATCCAATAAGAGGTGGTTTAGAAATTGCTAAAGTATGAAATAAGTGTACAGATCAGCAATGTGTGTGGTCTTTTATTTTTTTCTTGTCTATCCTACATCTATCCCCTAAACACAATACAATAAAGCAGAGCAGTTTTGGAGAACATGTCAGAGACATAAAAATTTCTGTGTCATGCCCAAAGTGTTTAGCCAAGAAACCAGGCAGCAATTATACACTAGACTGTTGCCCACATTCAATATTGGCTCCCATCTGTACCTATCTAAATTCTTGGCCACCCACATAAAAAAAGGAAAAAGGGGGCTACTGTTGGCCAGAAATTGCCAGTTACTGACTAGATCTAACAATAGGGCATTTCACTTGAGTTGAAAGGTAACCAAACAGGGTTAACTAGAAAAAGATATCAAATAATATCTGTGAGACAAACTACTAATGAATGAGTAGTCTAAAAAATGAATAGTGTTTCCAATTACTTGAGGAAGAGAAAGACTTCATTCTTTCCTGTTGCCAACACCCTGTTGTTAATGAATCAGGAAGTTTGCTGAAACAAGTGGTGAATTTAAATTATGACATATCCTTCCATTTGTTCATAGTATGATTTTTAAATTAAATTTGAAGGTTATTTAACTTTTACATCCCAAAAGTAGCAATGATTTCAAATAACTAAGATCCTTTAAAAAAAAGAGTTGTCTCACATTACAGATAATTATCTAAGATTGATAAGAGTTGATAAATCTTCTAAGTAGTTTTAAAAGTCATTAGGCTCAGAAGAATGCAGTTGAACTGCAACATGCATTATCTTGTTCACATTTATCAATAATTCCCCTCTAGATTCACCTTTGAGAGTTGCATAGAGGGCAAGTCCTTAGTATGTGTCTCCTGTTTCTCCTTTTCTGCGTGTTGCCCAAAGGAGAGTGTTGCTGAGAAATGGTGATGCCCATGAAGTTTTTGTATTTCACTCATGTGCCAAACTGTATCTCCAGATTCCACCTTGATGATAGAAGCAGAGGAGTCATTTCCTTTAATGAGTAGCCTAGGAATAACCATTAAAAAAACATCCTGTGTTCTCTCGGGGTTTTTAATAAACATAGATCATTATGTAATCATGATTTGAAAATATAAAAAGACTCCCTAAGAAATAACACATCTCTTCTAAACTCATAAGATAAACATTCTTGCTTTTCTGTAGTGATATATGTATAGATGATGAGACTACTTACTGACTTTGAAATCCTCATGGAGAAGAGCTGTGAAATAGAAAACTATTTAGTTTAATCCTATTTTTTCCTCCATATTTCTTTCAGCCATATTAAAGATTCCCTGTTGTGCATCCCATCAAATGTCTTTTGATGGTTTTCCAAACATCTCTGCCTCTGGTCTAGCTTATTAAATTTCCTGCCAGTGCCACCACTGGGAAGGAAAGGATAAAGAACTTCTGTTCCCTAACTTAGTCTCTAGGAATTTATTTTAAGCATTTCATACCCACCACTCTAAGTATTAAAGAGAAGATCCTCAGGACTGTTCTTTGGATGAGGCCTAAATAATTGGGTAATTATATGTCTTTAAATGGGTAATATGATTAGGGAATAAAAGTAACAGTGTTTTTCCCTCTCTATAGTGGAAAGAAGGAATGTCATAGTTAGAGAAAGACCACAGAAAAAATGTGGTATATTAATGTTAAGTTCTGGTACCATTTTTAATTGAACTTAAAAAAAATCCAATAATGATGCACATCTTTAAAAAAAAAATCTAGGGGCGCCTGGGTGGCTCAGTCGGTTGAGCGTCCGGCTTCGGCTCAGGTCACGATCTCACGGGTCCGTGAGTTCGAGCCCCGCGTCGGGCTCTGGGCTGATGGCTCAGAGCCTGGAGCCTGCTTCTGATTCTGTGTCTCCCTCTCTCTCTGACCCTCCCCCGTTCATGCTCTGTCTCTGTCTCAAAAATAAATAAACGTTAAAAAAAAATTAAAAAAAAAAAAAATCTAGTACCAAAATGTCCATAATGAGTAGCAACAGATAGCTAGCTATCTCTCCTTACTCCAACATTGCACCCCAGAGGCAACCATTTTTTTTTCTGACAGTTCTATAATTGTTCTGACAATTCTATATACCTAATAGTTATTTCTAAGTGTTTATATTGCTTTTGTTGTTGTTGTTTTTATTTTCTAGATTTTAGGCATTATGTGTTTGACTTCCTATTATTACAAATACAGACTTTGTTCACTTAAAACCCTGGCCTTGTTTTCTCCATTGTATTAGTTTCCTGAACTTTGTAGAGCTATATTTCCCAACCTTTTCTGCATCACAGCACAGAAAGAAAATGATAATATTTGCGTGGCATCCTGGGATAACCTAGAGTGTGTGGGGATCTATATTGGACTTGGTGATAAGTTAATTGCTTTTTAAATAATAAAAACATGAGAATAAAAATAAATGCAAAGTAATAGGGGCATTATTAGATACTGAACTTGTATAAAACTCTGAGCAAAAATCTTTTCAAATTTTTGAATGAGATAATTGAACTTGTCTGTGTGAACATAACCTTTTGAATCAGGTTTTATTCTTGAAAAAGCTACACATAGTTTCTGATCAAGACTTTCAAATTATAATCTCTTCGCATTCTTGACAGTTACTACAGTAGACTGAATAATGGCCCTCAAAGATAACCAGTTTTTAATTCCTGGGACCTGTGAATGTAACCCTGTATGGTAACAGGGATTTCAATAGTGTGACTGCATTCATGATTTTCAGATCGAGAGATTATCCTGGATTATTTGGTTGGGCCCTAAATGTAATCACTAGTGTCCTTATAAAATGTAAGCAGAAGGGGGTGCCTGGCTGTAGAGCATGTGACTTGATCTCAGGATCAAGCTCATGAATTTGAGCCCCACATTGGGGGTAGAGATCACATAAAAAAATAAAATAAGTATAATAAAAAAATAATAAGATGTAGGCAGAGGGAGATTTGAAGACAGGGAAGAAAAAAGTGATGTGATGATGATAGAGGCAGGGGAGAAAAGGCAACGTGATTCAAGGCCATGAGCTAAGCAATGAAGACAGCCTGCAGAAGCTGGGAAAAGCAAGGAAATGATTTCCCCCTAGAGCCTCGAGAAGTAGTTTGGCCTTGCTGACACCTTGATGTTAGCCCAGAGAAACCCATTTCAGATTCCAGACTTCCAGAACTATAAGAGAATAAGTATATATATGTTATAAAGCATCCAGTTTATGCTCACTTGTTTCAGCAGCCATAGGAAATGAATACAGTCACCATTCATGAGGAATGTTGCACAGATTTAAAAAACTTATAAACCATTCTTTAGAAGCCATTAAAAAATGTGTAATGGTTGAAATCATATTCAAGGAATCTAACAACTCTTTTTATTGATAAACACAATGATGAAATTTAATGTGGTAAGGCAAATGGATTTTTAATTCAACTAGACATTTTTCTAGTAAATATTTATGGAGAATGATGAAGATTTAATTTGTAAAACACACATTGTTGGATCAGTAAGACAAAAACTAGTTTGGA